GTAAATGATTAAACAGGAACAAAGCGTAGCTTGAATTCACTACATCAGTAGTTTTTTTTCATAAAATAAAAAAGCATGGTCTTGTGGAAATTGTTCATGTTGGATTCTTGAAGTGGCATCGATAATCCATCGTACCTGGTCAAAAAACGCACATAAAGAAACTTATTCAAGTTTGGTGTTGACAGTTTAAATGACATTCACTTCTCAAAAGACAATATGGTTATTCATTGTCCGAAACAAACTTTTGTTTTTTTCAAAAATACAGTTTTTACGCGGAAAATATAATATGTCAACGTGTTCACTTAAATATCAAAACCATCTTCCCCGTGACTGCCTTATGATATTGATAAAAACTGGTGAACTGGTTTTCTATTATTGTCGTAAAGTTCTCAAAATGTACAGAAAATTCATCTCCTCGTTCCAAGTGACAATCAAAGACCAGACTGACTGGGTTACAATCGGGAATATTCATCGGAATATGCAGTGCGTTGACTTGAGGATGATGTCAGTAAATTTGATAGCAGAGGAGCCAAACGTTACACCGAAGTAACCATGTAGTGTGTAGTTTTAATATTCCTAGTTACTGTATTATACTAATTCAGTGTGTTGTAATTTATCGGCTCAGTCCGCCATTCATTGTTCTCCCTTATTTTTTTAGACCTATTGCCATAACCTATCTTTTCTTGAAAATTATTGGGAAAATTACTTATACTCAATCTTGTTCCCTCTCTGAATAGTTTTAATGATCCTAAACAGTTTGCATATAATCAGGACAGAAGCACTGAACAAGCCACCGCTGTATTACATCATAAAATTGTTTCCTTCTTGGACAATCGAGCCAAATATGTCCTTTGTACTTTTCTTGGCTGCAAATCAGCTTTTGACTCAGTACCGAGATGCCTTTTGCTGAATACACTTTCTCTTACGTAGATCAAGATTTCAATTGCTGATTGGTAGCATTCTTATTTCTCAAATAGAGTGTATTATACTGCATATAACTCTGAATCTTCTGCCTTGTTTACCAAAGCTGGTGTTCCTAAGATTGCTTTTCCCCCTCTCCTTTTCTTTTTCCCTTCTTTTTACATGGATTGTATCTTTCTAACGAAATTATATTCGTCACACACTTGACAGTCTCGCTTCCTATCAAGTTCCAATATTACTGTGTCAAATTTAATTGCCTTCTGCGGGATATCAGTCAGTGTTCTACAGCTAAATGGTTTTACGTTAAATCTTTCCGAATGCCAGACTACTGGCTTATCCTTTAAAAGTGATCCTTCAAAGTGATCTACAACAACGGGTTAATTTAAACGATGCCTTTAGCATAGAGAGATGTGTAACACAAACTAGGTCGAACTCAAAACACTTCGGTATAGTTTTATCCTCTGCCCTTATTTCATCAATCTCCAATACAATGTTCCGTCTAAGCTACTAAATTAAGCAGCTAAAACTATCTGGAACCCTATAACCTCTACTCTCACAATTTGTTAAATCGTGTACATTAATGCTCTCCCTTAGTCTTTCCTGGTCTACTGCAAAAGTTCCAAATCACTTTGAGAAAAGTGTCAAAGGGTTTTTAGCATGGCTGGTGGTATGCAGCTTAGTCAACTTTTCACTCTATTTGTTGATAGACATCTAAACTCATGCGATAAATGGTCTTAATCTACATTGTCTCACTCCCAGAGTACCCTCTATTCTCAACTTACCCCTGTTATCTCATCTGGTAGAACTAGAAGTCAGTACAATAGACGGTATGCTCGTACCACCAACTATAGGAACTCATCGATAAGACGTTCGGTCCGTATTTCATGTGACAGAGATAATTTTAACCCTGAAATTTGTGAATTACTTTGTAGTTAACTAAATAATTGACCGTTTGTTTAACTCCTATTTGTAATCTATGGTGACAATACCTCAACTAATTGATAATCTTAGCTACCTAGCGAATTATTATTTACAATTATAGATATATGTGCAAATGACTTCAATCTCACCATAAATACTATGTAAAAGCCGGCATTGACGATCCTTTAGTATTATCCCTAAAATTTAATTTTTAATTTTTTTTTAAATTTTTTAAATTAATTTTTAAACCAAAGCTTTAAGTTCGTTACATAAGAAACCGTCTTTCCTACTTGTCCGGAAGAATACGTGTTCAATTATTCTGATGTTCCACTAGCTCCAATTCAAATTCAAATTTTAGCACTTCGACCTAAGTTTTGCGATGCAACATCAATTGTCTATGAACTGAACACGAAAGTGCAATTTGAGAATTAAATCGACCAGACGAAAGATCTGGTCCCAGTCTCATATGAGAATGCTGACCTTTTCAAATCAACCGCTTTAAATTGCTGCAAAACCCCAGCCTTCGTAACGTACTTTCTAAAGAACATCGAAAGCAGCTCAAACAACCGAAATATAATGAAAACTTCATCATCACAAGACCAGATAAAGGCTCCGTAATCGTCTTGATGAACAAATCAGACAACCTAAGTAAATTCTCGGTAATACTATCTGATGTTAAAACGTTTTAGAAAAAGTCTCAACAGAAAAATCCCACCAAGCAGACGGAGCTCCAGTTAACAAAGATATTGAAGAAAATGAGAGGCGAATCCATTACCAGTTCAAAACTACAGGAACTACTGCACCCATCTGGTTCTACAGTGCGGCGCATGTACGGCTTACCTAAAGAGCACAGACAAGACGTCCCACTCCGCCCAATACTAGATATGATAGGTTCCCCATATCATGCAATCGCGAAATATCTGGTGAAGATTCTCAGGCCAGTGAAAGAGAAGCTGTCAAGACACAACCTCCATGACACATTCGACTTTGTTGATTCAATTAGGAATGTCAGTGAGGCAGAAACTAAAATGGTCTCCTTGGATGTCATCTTTCTCTTCACCAACGTTCCATTGACAGAAACCGTATGTTTCCTTTGAGACTACATGCAATTCAATGGCATCGATGTCGGTATACCGATCCATTACCTGAAAGAACTGTTACTTTGATGCACCATCAACGTAAACTTTAGTTTCAACTAGGAAATACACAGGCAGGTAGATGCAGTAGCAATGGGTTTTCCTTTAGGACCCCACCTAGTCGACTGCTTTATGGATAGCTTGGAAAACAACTCCTTAACACCAACTATCAAAGACTTCCATCTCTGAAAGAGATACATCGATGATACTTTCATTGTTTGTGATGAGAATTGTGATTTAAAAAACCTACTTCAAATCTTCAATGACGCTCACCCAAACATTGACTTTACACTTGAAACTGAACCCGATGGAATGTTCCACTTCTTCGACGTCCATTTGACAAGAAACGCCAACAACTGTCTGAAAAGACCCATATACAAAAAGGATCTATGGAATTGGCAATTCATCAACTTTCAAAGCTACATGCCCCTAAGCAGAAAGAGGAACCTGATATACGCTCTTTCCTCGAGGATTCGGAAGATATACAGCGAGGAAGTAGTTAAAGAAGAACTGCGTGATCTCCGAAAACCTTGATGGAAAACGGTCTCACGCTCAAGTTCATAGACAAGAAACTCAAATCTAAGAAGACTTCCGAATAAGTCCACTCCGTTCCAATGAAAATACTTCTGCTTAATCAAAAATTCAAAGGTGATATTGGAGCAGAAATCCTTCGGAAATGCCTCTCCAAATCGCCGAGGAAAACATACTTCGTCGCTAGCCTACGACTGACCTTTTCCTGCAAAAAGCTGTTCGACCAGAACGCGCATTGGGCCACGCCAACGTGCATGTACTTGTTTACTTGCTTTTATGGAGCTGAGTACATTGACCGTACCACGCGCCGACTTGAAAAACGCGCTGTTGAACACAACCCAGCCTGGTTAGTAAAATTAGACGAAAAGCCTGTATACAGTTCAGTGACAGAAAATCTTCGTCAATTCAGGACATTCAGCACCATTTCAAAAATCCTTCAAAGTAATATACAGGATTCAACCAAACCTATCAGAGGAAGTGAAATCAAGACATCTGGGCATATCCTAGGCACTAGCTATCCAAAAGCTGAAACCCATGCTTTTTATCCGAAAGAAATACGTCCAAACCCTGTCCCTGCCATGGCCATCATAAACGGGTAATTTTTTAGTGATGACAATCCCATTGCTTTTCTTATCTAAACTTCCTGTTTATTCATGTTATTTTTTAATTCTTTCTTAATCCTTGTTTACACTGCCATATTTTGATACCCGAACTTAGTGCTTATTTTGTCATTTTACTATTTCTACATATTTAGTCCCTGATTTCATAAACAATTATTCATCACATTAGTTTTTATCTAAACATCCTGTCTATTTTTGTTATTTCTACATTTCTAACCCCAAATTGCACAATGTCAATCATCTTAGTAATTATGATGCTTCTTTGTTTGAGTTTTATCCGTCCCCCTGTTTGTTATGGCATTCGAAATCCTTATTTTAATTTTTCATTAATATGACCTTTAACGGGAAATTATTCTGGAACTTTCCCATCCATTTGATATAAATACACGAATGTACAGCCTAGATGATGACTTCGTCGAAAATAAAATTTTCTTCGCTGCAATTGTCTTCTTACGTTTTTAAATGATATTCGATGTAATTGATTGATAATCCTTACTACCTACTGCACACTGTTACATCAGTAATGTTTTAGAGTAAAGCACATTATTCTGAGTAGTAGATTTGTGTCCTCCACAACTTACTAGTACCTGAAGCTACACTGACAGAATATTAGGTTTAACTACAGAGAAATGCCAAACGATGTAGATGTTACAAGCGGAGAGAAGATAATGAAGGTGAGGTGTCCAACTAGTTCGCACATGTATTAACACAATGCACTAAAATGACTAAGCAGTGTAAGCGTAAGCAACGATGCGTAACATACTATTCGCGCAGCTCCTTCTTAGTCGATTTATGACAATGAAACCAAAAAAAATGATACGAAAGGTGACAACCATTAATTAAGATTTATTTGTTGCGTAATAAAATAATCATACATATCACTTCAGTTCCTCACCTTCGGAAACAAAACCGACTTAATCGAAAAGCTGCATATTTACACCTTCTTAATATTTTTCTCAACATTGGAGACCTTTATATCAGCCTCTTGCTTGATCCCCTTCACGGTCTTTTCAGCTATAGCATCTTTCTTGGGTGTTTCAGATTTGGCGTCCTTCTTGCCCTTTACTGTTTTAGCGCCTTTTTTGCTCTTTTCAGCTTTAGCTTTCTTCTTATCTTTCTTCTTCTTGTCATCCTTGTCATCATCATCATCTTCGTCATCCTTATCATCGTCGTCCTTATCATCATCATCGCAGTCATCCTTCTTACCTTTAACGCTCTTCTTATCCTTCTTCGATTTCGACTTCTTCACATCTTTCTCTGATTTTGCCTTTTTCAAATCCTTCTCTGATTTCACCTTCTTAACTTCTTTCTTTTCTGTGCCTTTCTTCACATCCTTCTCTCCCTTCACGTTCTCTACAGCCTTCTCTCCTGTGGCCTTCTTCACTTCTTTTTCCGTTTTAACTTCCTGCACAACCTTCTCTTCTCCAGCCTTCTTCACATCTTTCTCTTTCGCAGCGTCCGTCTTCGGATCGGGCTTCTCAGCGGCTTTGACTTCTTTTGGGGATTTTATAGGCACTGGGAAAACGGAAATATATTTCACGATAAGTACAACTATATGCACATATAAATGAATTTAGGATTTAAATGAAACATACAAACTTGAGAATGCTTCTCAAACGAGCCCACTACTCACTGGTGATCTATGCTTTTTATGAGTATTTTACAAGAGGAGCGCTGGTTGTGAACTACTCTGCCGCTGCCATTTCTATCCAAAGTCAAGTAATTGTACTTGAAATATCGGCATAATGACTGAGAAACACAACAGATTACTATGATGACCAGTTTGAAGTGATGGAACTGCACAAACTGGCTTTATAAAATGAAACTAATTGTTAGACAACAAAATGAATCACATCTTTTCTGAGACGATTATCACTGTTTTACAAGTTGACCAAGGTTCTTCGACGCCTCCCTATATTTATCAGTGAAGGTAACAGAATAAGGGTGGAAGTTAGAATCATAAGAAATGCCCTTTTATTTAGAAATGATAATAGTGTACACTGAGATATAAAGTCTATTCCGTTCCATTAAAGGCTGCTCTGAATGTGGAAGGTCGTATTTGGTCAATCGTCGAATGTGCACTTCCACAAATCGTTCATATGTAAACTGCCATGTCAATCAGGAATACTCCTAACATTACGTCACATCAATTTGTATGACAGGTGCAATCTGAACGAGATGATCAGACATCTAGAAGACTGAACTCCTCAGCGCCACGGTAAATTATCCAATGCTCATCTAGCTCCAGCAAACATATTTTCATCCTGTCTAACGAATCGTTCTGTATTGAAATGTACCATTAATTGATTTCACCACCCATATCTGCATCATACACTACCGAGTAATCGAGCCACATGGTACATACACGACGGCCAATTTTGTTGATTCGATCGCGTATGATTTTTTTATCATGAGGTCGCGCCAAGTATTGCCTCGTGTCCCACAGTTATCTTGCATGATTCACTTCGTTTCTTATTATTTGACTATGAATAACCTCAGGACAAACACTTTAGTCAGATTTGAAAAATATAAATACTGACACAACAATGAACAGCACACCAATCCATGTGACTCACCTTCCTCATCAGCATATGGAGGGAGTTCCTCAGGTTTCTTGAGAGGCTTCATTTCGACAATATGCGGGAGGAGAACACAAGTCATCATGATCATGCAAAGCATTGACAATCGTGTCATTATTGTGGGCCTAAAAATAGAAATAAATCAATTGGATAGAGACAGCCTTAGGGCAGTTGCAAAAAATACACCTAACAATGGTTAAATAAATGAGTAGTGTGGAAATCAGTGCAAAAATGGAAAAGAACAGATAATACTGCTTCACATTTCTTCACAAATATTCAACACACACCAGAGTTTGTCATGATCAGTGAAGTGATCTGCAGTTTCGTCATATGCTTGATATCAATCAAACATCAATCAGATAATGTGGTCAGTGAGATGAATACGGAACGGTTTTGTTAGATATAGATGTGAGAATGAAATGTGAAATTCAATTGTTTAACTTACAAGTTATTTGTAATCTGTTGGTGAGTTGAACAGTGTTCCATTCATACACATATTTATATATGCATGCAAGTGTGATTTAAGTGTCACGTCCACTGGTTAGCTTTGTCACATAAATCAATCCTCCATGTCAGCATGTTGGCAAGCTCTTGTTAATCTTGTGTCATGAGACCATTGATTAGTAGTGAGTGATTTCAATGAAGGCTTCATCGTTTGAAGTGTTAGAAAATTGGGTTAACTGACTATTTTATCTCATGTTGTGTCCCTAAAACGTGGATAGTTTAATCGACGTACTTTTGTTAACCAGGCTGATTTCTTTAATTGCAAAGGCATCCTTCGTGAACACTCTTATAAGGACACCGTCGTATAAAGTCGTTAACAGTGAAAAATATCAATAACAGAAGTAAAAATGTCTCTGCTTTCCCATAATCAGTATTTAGCTAGATTTAAAAAGAGTTCAGAAAGAAAAGTAAAATAATGTGACCTACCCATTTTTCACATTATTCATGTGTATTTATGCTTAACATATACAACCTTTAACAAGCCTTATTCTTATAGTTCGTTACATGATTGACACTGAAAGTGAATGGAATTTAAACTAACAAAATGAGTGTGTGCACAATATTTGGTATCATTTCCCTCTAGAATGGTTGATTCAGGTTTTTTTTTCGTGTGAAAGTAAGTCTTGGTGTAAGTCATTGTGTCAGTGTTTCTTATTTGGCTATGATTTAAAGAGGCACGTGTCTGACTCTTAAACAAGGACCCTAATATTAGGACAATGACTTCAACAAAGATAATTGTACCCTGGTACACACCAATGTTACCGATCAGTGTATCCATTATAATCCCAAAAATTAGTGAATAGTGAGTTAGGACACTTCACTGGTGTCATCTTTGAATAAGGCACTGTGTGGAGCGGTTTTGAAGATATGATTTCCTTCAAGATGCCAGGCACGCCTTACTGACCAGTGCCAAAACAGTACGAGACTTTGCTGCAGAGGCGACTGGTAAATTTCTATATTTATCTAACATGTGAAATTAGTATTTATCCCAGAAATATATATATATATATATATATATATATATATATATATATATATATATATATATACAATTTGAGACAGAGGAAATGTAGGGAATAATTTTCCTGTCTGTTAGGATTTTCAACCGCCTAGTAGTTACCTTTGTCGTCACTTGTATAAGCATCCCTACACGAACAGAATGCTGGTTTACTTCTCACAGTATTTATAAAAATGTAATCTAAGAATGGTTTGATCTTGCGCTTGTTTCGGAAGGATCAGTCCATAAGAATAACAAACAATTCTTGGAAAGTGTTGAAAGTACAGCACATTACTGATGTGAAGTGGATAATCTTCGAAAACCATTGATTTTGGTGTAACAATAGTTAAGTTTCTGATTTTACACACCAGCCTGTCACAAATAAGCAAATCTAATTTAAAGCAGAGAAAAGTGGAGTATGATTTTGACGCAGGACAAAAATTTGTCTTTAGTTATATATGCATTGTAGTCTCTGCACAGGTATAGTACAGATGGTTTCACCACACAAATGAAAAGCAACAAGTTCTCAGGGGAAGCATCCAGAGACGTTAGGCATTCAGGTGAACATTGAGAAACAGAGGTGATGAAGATTCCTGACCAACAGCAATAGTAACAACGACAGACACCAATCAGCATAAATAGGAGAAATCTGAAAGAAGCTACCTCTTTTACCTACCAACCTACCTGAGAAGCATCGTTTCAACTACAGGCGGAACTGACGACAATATCCAATCGACGATTGGGAAAGAAAGACTAGGTTTCATATCTCGGAAGTCTGTGTGAAGATAGACAGCACTCAGCATGAATAATAACATGCATATTTTCAGCTCAAATTTGAAATGTGTGCTACTATATGGATCGGAGACTTGGTGCATCATTAAAAGCACTTCGAACAAACTTCAGATCTCCATCAAAAGCTGTCTTCGCTCAATACTCAAGATCAGATGGTCGGCCAGGAAACATCAGCAACAGGGATCTCTGGGTGCGAACCAACCAGGAACCGATTGTGCAACAAATAATCGGGAAAAAATGGAGGTGGATCGGCTACACTCTTAGAAAACTAACAAGTGACATTACAAGACCCGAACGAGAACTGCCAAGTTGGTCGTCAATGAGAGGATTACATAGAGGAGGTCATGTAGAGAGGAAACAAAAGCATGTAGGCAGACATAGAGCCAGGCGAAAACGTTAGCAGAGAACAAAACGTAACGGAGATGTGTGGCTGAAGCCCTATGCTCCTCTAGGAACTAAACGAAAACGTAATAAGAAAGAACTTGACCTGTTAGAATGCATGCGTGGATACCCTGTCACTGTATATTACCCCGAGTAAACAAAGCGATATGGGATACTATCCTACCCCATCTCCTTAGTTCTGTAACTTCGCTAATAATAACAGTGGTGCTGCAACAGTCTTCAGGAATATGTAGAAAACAGGTGAGGGATGGAAACTGAAATATATTGCTCTAACAACCAACAACAACTACAAAACTAATGATTGAACCTACTATTTTACCTCGAACGCAATGCATTTTGTTAAATAAATAGTATTATTTTCTTTTACGAATTCAACTAGATATTTAAAGTGACAAAATCTTATTGAAAACTTGTTTTTATTTTGGAAAGGGGAATTCGACAACTACTTTGGAAAGCATGATGTACAAACTTGCAGTAACTCACTATATTCCACATATCGCATTAAAATGTGAATGTATTCAATGGACCTCCTTGGTATTAAATATCATCCTTAAGCACATAAAACGTTATTCCCACGATTGCTTCACATTCATGTGTTATGTTTCATATTTCATCACATAACATAGACGAATAAGGTGCTTTGAAGATATGAAGATGTATGTGTGCGAATTTCGAGTGTATTCAATTTGATGTGTCATCCGTAATTATGATGATAATTGATGTGATGTCCTGCCGACATCAATACATAATAAGGCCACGTAAAAATACAACAAGTCTGTAAATGCGAAAGCAGCTTGCTAATAACAGAATAACTGCTACACATTCGTTTGTGTCCTTCAAATGAAATCCGCTTGGTTGTATAGGACTGCATAGTAAAATTTCGTGTCATTTACACGTTTATGAAACCCGAGATATACTCACTTCATCGGAGAGAAAACTTTCAGTCATTGGTGTTAGTATATAATGTGGAAGAAATATGCGGAAATCAAGCTTGTGAATATGATATGGTGAAAAATACTCTTACGGCCTACTGTGCTGCAAATAGTCGACGGGGCTCATTCAAGTCTTCTATGAATGCAAAATTTTGTTACATAGAAGAATATAATTTGACTCAACTGAAATACACCTAAATCGGAAAGGCCAAATTGAAGTCATCTAAAGAATACTCTATAATACAGGCTGGAGGGATGGTAGAAGTTAATTCAGTGCTACTCCCTGTGTACGCACTTTGTTGAATTTGGTCAGTGAAGTATTGTGACATTGTTCCATGTAAATTCTATATCCTATGTAGATTCATAGGAAGCTGCTAAAAATATAAATCAGCCTTTTAACTAAGTGCTTACAGCGGTAGAAGTATTTAATCCTAAAATTTGGATTTAGTTTACGTTGATTATAATAAAGGTTTTTGTATTTCCCAATGAATGAAAAACAAAACGATATTGGCATTTTTACTGACGTTCAGCTATCTAGTGCCAAAGCTTTATCAAAGTATTATTAAACCGGAATTTACAAAAGATCAGCATATATATAACAAAGTGTTAAGAGGTGAGAAAATAGACAAGTTTGGCCAAGTTAAAAGGACATCGGACATATATCTTGAGAAATAGAAATCAGAAGAAATGAACACCGTAGAGCATCAGCTTAACCACCAAGAAATCTAATTAAACTAGAAAAGTTTGAAAAATCATCAGCCATAGGTGGTCAACACATTATAGAATCAAGTCAAAAAATTGATCTCAACAATACTCAAAAAATAATCCAGAAAAACTTCAGAAATCACAAAGAACGTCTAATATCAGAAACACTTCATGTCAAGTGGAATGCAAATTTTCTGAATAAGAATAATGGACTAAAACAGAATTTAACATGGTTACAATAATAATAATAATAACAGCTTTATTCCAATTAGTATTTGTGGTACAGGTATGGAATTTGCAGCGTGCATTACAATATATTACATTTAATTACCTCATAAATTTTAAAAGATCTTGAAAACAAAAAGCAAAAACCAGAAAAAATAGATAGATAAAAAGAAATAAAAAAGAACAGCGTATAGTTTACATTTTAAACAATGCACCACAGGATATGAAATATTAAGTTGATGTGTGATAGAAAATGAGAACAATAGTGTAATAGTAACGGAGAAAGGAAAACAAAAACTAGTGGGACTATTTGTTAGAGTGCTGCAGTAAGTTGATCGTGTCATACCTAACGGATTTCTCATCACATAACAGCTGTGCCAGATATGGCATTGTGGAGATTTTCTATTTGGTAGTCCTAGCATATAGCCGCCTATAGCTGCTTCTAGTTTTACCAGATGAAATGCAAGGAGACGTGCGTATAGAGTGAGGATGCTGGGGGTCTGACAATATTGTGTTCGCTAGTTTCTTACATGACATTATATGTCCATCCACAATAGTGTCAACCAGCTGGTTGAACGGTATCCCACTTGCCCTACTAACGGCTTTTAGTGTCCTTCCCAGCAAAGTCTTTCTTGAGTAGTTCAGGAAAGATTATTGGGGAGCAGTAAAGGGGGATGGGTAAAATACAAGAATTGACAAAATGAGAAAGCAAAGACTGCTTTAAGCCAGACTGCCTAAACTTTCTAACGTAGAAAGTTAAGCGAAACATCTTTCTAGTAACTAGCAAAATGTGGGAGGACCAGGAAAGATCGGAGGAAATACTTAATCCAAGGTACTTGACATAAGATGTATTTTCAACCTCTGTGCCGTCAATGAGAGTGGGGCCATGTGAGCTAACTAGTTGCTGTAGGTCACATTTACGTCTGAAA